TACTTTTATCATGTAAATAGAAGTTGTTGAGAATAATAATGAGAAACCATAGCAACCAACACCACTTCCAAATCTTGAGAATTGAAGGAGATATGCACTTGTGATAAATGGAAACAAAGACTTGTCCAACTATGTAAAACTTCTTCAATCAATCCTTATACCTTTGAACTATTTTTGACAACTTGAGGCATGATGAATCATAATAGACTTTGTCACAATGTTATTTCAAAATATCTTCAATAGTGAAACTTGAACCTCAATGAAGCTTTGTTGAAGAAGACACAAAAATGAACTCATGATCATATAGATCAACTTGATGGAATGTATTGTGCTCTCACCTATAACATCATCAATTAGGGAAAACATTCCTTGAATTTGTTAGTTAAAAGTTAATCACTACAAAGCATAGATAATCACAAAATACAAGTCAATGTGCTTGGTGATTCCCCATGAGCAAAACTTAAAGATAAGGAGAAGAGCCAAACCCTAGTGTGATCTTGTTGGGATTGAATTGATGTGATAGAGGGATCTTAGGGGGGGAAATTGGGGTACAACAGGATCCATGCAAGTTAAAAGTATTGGTGTAAAGATATGCTTATGTTGTTGTTAATGATTTCTCAAAATTCACTTGGGTAAATTTCATCAGGGAAAAATCATAAGTCTTTAATGTCTTCAAGGAATTGTATCAAAAGCTTCAAAGAGAGAAGGAAAGTAACATTGTTAGGGTCAGAAGTGATCATGATAGGGAATTTGAAAATAACAAGTTTGCTAAATTTTGTGCCTCTAAAGATACTAGTCATGAATTTTTTTCACCTATCACCCTCAACGAAATGGAGTTGTTGAGAGGAAGAATATAACTCTTCATGAATCAACAAGACTTATGCTTCATGCAAAAAAATTTCCATATTATTTTTGGATAAAAGCTATGAATACTGCGTGTTATATTCATAATAGAGTCACCTTAAAGACTGACACTGCAAATACTTTATATGAGTTATGGAAAGGAAGAAAGTCTACACTTAAATACTATCATGTTTTTGGAAGTAAATATTACATCTTGGTTGATTGCGAGCAAAGAAGAAAAATAGATCCCAAAAGTGATAAAGGGATATTTCTGGGCTACTCTACAAACAGTAGAACCTATAGAGTTTTCAACACCAGAACTCAAGTCATGATGGAATCCATAAATATTGTGGTTGATGACTCAAGCACAGATAGTGAGCATGATGTTGAAGACAATGTTGGAACATCATTCCAGATGAATGATGAGTCAGAAGATGTGGAAGATGATAACATTAATCCTCATTGATGTTGAACCTGATGACAATCAAGTAAATAAGAGTCCTTCAATCAGAATTCGGAAAGATCATCCCAAAGAACTCATTATAGGAAATCCTAATCAAGGGATTACTACTAGATCAAGGTAAGTTGTTTCTAATTCTTGATTTGTGTCTAAGATTGAACCAAAGAATGCGAAGGAAGCCTTAACTGATGAATTATGGATCAATGCCATGTAAAAATAACCGAGTCAGTTCAAGAGGAATGAAGTTTGGGATTTAGTTTCTAGGCCTAGTGGAATAAATGTCATTGGTACAAGGTGGGTGTACAAGAACAAAATTGGTGAAGGTGGAGTTATCACCAAAAATAAAGAAATACTTGTGACACAAGGTTACACTCAAATTGAAGGTATAGATTTTGATGAGACTTTTTCTCCAGTTGTTAGACTTGAATCCATCAGAGACTTCTTTTAGGAGTGACATGTTTATTTAATTTTAAGCTATTTCAAATGGATGTGAAAAATGCCTTTCTGAATGGATACTTACATGAAGAGGTTTATATTGAACACCCCAAGGGATTTATTGATCCTACTTATCCAGGTCATGTGTTCAAACTAAAGAAAGATCTCCATGGATTAAAGCAAGCTCTTAGGGCTTGATATGAGAGGTTGACATAATTTATTGTCAACAGTGGCTACAATAAAGGAAGAATAGACAAAACCTTGTTTGTCAAAGAAAAGGATGGTAAACTCATGTCTGCTCAAATATATGTTGATGACATTGTGTTTGGAGGGATGTCGGACCAGATGGTTCAACATTTTGTCAAACAAATACAATCAGAATTTAAGATGAGTCTTGACAAGAAACAACTGACTGATATTTTCACCAAAGCTTTGGATGCAAATCAGTTTGAAAAGCTTAGGGGTGAGCTGGGGATTCGCCTCTTTGAGGAACCTTAGGTTCCATCTGTTGTGTGTTTCCATCCAAGATTGTGTGTTTCCATATGAGTTTTGTTTATTTCTATTGCTATTTTGTGCTTCCATTTGTGTTTATGCTTGTATTCATTGTATGCTTTCAATTGTTTTTACATTTACTCTATTTTTGTCAATTTTTGGCTAAAAATGGAAAGTAAAGTGTTAGTGTTTCTGTTTGTCTAGATGTCATATCACATGTCTTGACATGTTGATTAACATTGTGATAGGACTATACTACTGCTAAGGGAAGAGTAGTATATTGTGGTTGCTTGCTATATGAAACTATTTAGGAGGAAGTATGATTGTATGTCATGCTTGTTGGTGCTTATATGGATGTTACTGCTGATGGTGGTATTTGTGTGTATGAATGATGTCATACTAGATGTTCTGACATCTTGCCTAATGTGTTTATGGAGAACCCTGGTAACTTCGTTTCTCTGTTTGCGAGGCTTATTTTTCTTCTGCTGCATGTGCCTCTGATGTGTGAACTTAGATAGTTCATATTGGTTTGATTTTCTTGTGATTTGGATTTTCCTCTTGAGGGGGAGTTTTGATCATGTGTGTCAAGGGGATAATATGCCCCTCTGAGTTTGTATAAAGTTTATATGTTTTTCATGTGGCTTGTGTTTTATGAATGTGGTTTTATTTCTCTCTCTAGTTTGATTGTGCTAAGGTTGTTTTAGTCAAAATTTATCAAAGGAGGAAATTGTTAGATCCATAGTTTTAGGATCAACAATAATTTTGGTAAGACATGATTCACAACAAGCTATTGTATGAGATCTCCTAACATGTTAGTCTGTCTACATTGAAGATATTGTGTGAGATCTCCTCAATAGTGTTTCACATAATTAGGAAATAGGCAAAGAAATAATTGTTTAGTACAAATATGAACCTTACAATGATACTAAGATTGTTAAGTTTTGTATGATAGGCAAGGTATGAAATTAGTTTAAAGTAGTGGTTATAATTATAGGCAAATCTAATTAAAATTCAAAATGGATTATGGATAAAATATCATATCAAAGTAGAGGATGCAAATTAGTAGTTAATGAAAATAATGTATTGGATGCAACATGATTTGGAACATGTATGTGTAGAAAGCATAAATGAGGTTAAAAAAATGTTGAATAAATATCCATAAGAACATATTTTATTTGATTGTAATTGATCAGAAGAGATCGTCGATGACTCATGAACTGGAACTGAAACGTCGGTTGAAGGTGAAGTGGGAGGTACCTGCAAGATGCTCTAATGTCAAAGTAAGTATCTAAACAACAATGCAAGTATATAGGGTATTTATAACCCCCAACACTGGGCCAAGATCTACGAACTGAGCCAAATTGTTAGACCCAATAACAAAGACTGTCACAGTTATGTGAGTAGTGGAGACCAGCATGTGGTCTCCTCCCTGGTCAACTGCTTCGAGATAATAGGGAAGTTATAGACCCGTTATTCTCGATGGATAGGATTATGGTAACTCCGGATAACCGTTAGTCACGTCTCCTTGGTGGGCACATGGAGAATTTCCCAAAGGTTACTGACATGGGTCGTATGTTATTGGGCCATAGTAAAGGCGCTAAATTGGACCTACTCGACGATGGGTCAAGCGCATGCCCAATCCAAAATAGTATCAATGAGGGTATTCATCGAGATACTACAAAAACCTCCGAATCTTATTACAATCTGAATATCAGTAAGGATGAGAATTAATTAGGAAAGTCACCTTAATACCCCAATCATATTCGGGCCCACCAGGGTTATGGCTCGCACTCATAATAAATCTAACATTTCCTGTTGAAGTTTAAGTAAATGAGAATAAATGATCAAGTTTAATGGAAATTTTATGCCATCTCTATATACTAAAATATTGCTAAAGAGAAAAGGAGTTTGTTTTGCTTGCCTCTTTCTTCTATATCACAGCAGAAACGATTGGTGTTGACAATATCTCTTCCCTGCATTAGAAAAGAAAATGTGTATTCAATTTAGAATTTGTTTGGATAAACAACTGAATCAAGTGTTTATAGCATAATTACTTAAATATAAGTTACTTTTATAACAAAAGATTAAATAAAGTCAAATTGTTTCAGTATAACCTATAAGTTATTTTTATAAGCTATCATGAAAAGCTTATGAAAACAAATAGAAAACAACTTATAAATATGTCTTAAATTATTTCTACAAGTTCTCTCAAACAATCTTACAAATATTTAACAACAGATAAACTTAAATAAGTCTTTCCATAATATTAATGAAATAAAATTAACACATAAATATTTATGAAGTTAACACTTGCAGATAAACTTATATGATTAACACAAATATTTCAAACGGAGGAGCAGAAAGAGTTTCTTGGAATTGCAATAAGATACAAAAAATCAGCAACAAAATACCAAATCGCAGAAATCAGAAGAAAAAAAATACTCGGTCACGCTTCCTTCGGTTAAAATCAACAGCACAAAAATAACGATTATATGAAAAACGAAAACACAACAACATATCATGTTTATCGGAAAAACAAAAGGCCAATGTTACATGAGTGAAAATGAGTTGAGTTCAGTATATACTACAAAATTGATCCTACCATATCTTACAAGATAGTTAGAACTTAGAAGTACAAAAATTCTACCATCTGAGAAATGCAAAAGGCTACAAGACCTAAAATCCAGAACTCAATATACTATTTCCTCTAATGGTGTTAATATAACAAAATTAAAAATTATATACTAGCATGGAGCTCTCAAAATTTATATCAGTAGATAGCTCTTTCTCTTGTATTGTAGCGACCATTGACCGGCTTAGAAGAAGTGCAACCGATGTTAGGAATTTTATTTCTTCTCAGTGAAAATGGATCTATCCCCGCTTTGTGAGCAGCCATTACTCCAATAGCCTCCCAATAATTTGAGACATGCAGCTGCAGAAGATGTCATTTTGATTTCATCAACAAAAAATGTTTTTCGTTTTTATTGCATTGGAAGATAAATGAAGCGCTGTCAAGATAACGCTTCAACAATATAAAACTTTTACATGATCATTCAATCAAATCTCGTCACTTCGATGTTTCTTGCGCTATTTTAAGAAATAATATAACAAATTGTCAGTGCAAATCATTAGACTAAATGAAAAATTGCTTACCGCTTCAAAACCAAGTTTATATGCAGTATCATCCAGAACAGTTTCATTTTCTTCCACAGTAATGATAAGTGGCTGCAAGGAAATTTAGGATTGTTACACAAGAAAAATGGCATCATAGAAATTCTAATTTTTCATCATCAGGACATGAAATAATTGTTGCTTTTGTTATCAGAGTTAAAAAAAAAGAAGATGGATTAATGCCTCCATTTATACCTTATGTTTTTCATTTCTTGCAAAAGCAAGAGTCCCTTCCCCTCCACAAGCATCTTTAGGAAGGACTACAGAATCCACATCACTTGCCAATATGCAACCCTTTTCCATTGATTCAGAATGCATGACCAAGTATTGCGGAGCTTTACTGAGGCCAGCTAGCACACATGGCAGGAAAGTGTACCCAATCTATTTGACAAGAGCAAGTTATCCACAGAAACTAGAACTGACACATAGATACGATAAAAATTTAGAAAAAATAAAGTGATTGAATGTAACTACATATGTCGATGTCATATTGGTGTTGGACACAACGACTCATGTATGTGTTGGACACTGGACCATGTCTTCAATCTAAAGTGTTTGTACTACATAGCCCTATTGTGAAATAGTTGAACCAACAATCAAATTAGTTGTTGTCTAGAGTTTACTAACCTCCTCAGCTGCTGATTTGGGACTTAAAGATAGACTTAAAGGAATTGGAGCCATTGCAGGAGCATGTGCACAAGGAATTTGGAACTCCTTCACCACTAGATGGCTTATAACTGCCTCAACTCCCGCCAATAGGTCTACTCCCTGTGAAAATTGGGGACAGTGTTCATAAGCAGATTGGAATTTTTTTTCACATCAAGTTAAAATTTGAAGACAAAGATAGAAAAAGAACATAATCATCATGATTTCTCTTAATTCAAAATAAAGTTGCACAATTAATCCACTTATACTCATATGTATTAGATCATGGTCATATAATTTCAATAGCCATTGCTGTCATACTCATACCAATCCCTGCCGATATTCATCAACATCATCAATATCATCGTCTGGGAAACGTCCGACAACAGCAACAGCATTCACTTTTGACCTACTCACTAAGGTCTGCACAGCTCTAAGTAAAGAATCAGGGTGCTTAATCCTCCCTGTTGATTTTCCAGTTTTGGGATCAATCCATTTCTCTACCTGTAAAATTTAACGATCGTGGTAGCCTGGTAGGCACAATTCAATTTCATTAGGCTTGTTAAAACAAGATGATACTGAATAATACCTCAAGTGGAGTGTCTGTGACAATATATTCCACAACAGGCAATCCAAGGGAAGCTCGTGCAGCATCGGCTACTTGTAACTGGCGAATCCGGAGATCTTCCTCTATACCGGCATCAAGAACTATTCCAACCTACTTTACATAATTAAAGCAAGCTCAGTACATTATTCTCATTGGAAAGAAAAGAATAGCATTCAAATAGTAATACTTGATTTGTCATACCCTATTTTGGTGAACAGGTTGTAAAGCCCATGACCCTTCTGCAAATCTGTCAAGAGCATAACCTTCAACATATAAAGCATTAGGCATTGGCCAGTACATCATTGCTGCATTAAGAACCTGGAAAATTTTGACAATTTCAACCAACAAAGAAAACACAAAAAGTGAAAAGACCATATTATCCACCAATAGCAAGAAATTGGAAAAGAAAGTGTTACATTAGGGTGAGTGATAAGGCAATCAACAACTGACGAAAGAGCGCGAGCAACGGGCAAAGAGTCACCAGCGAATCCACCAATAGCGGCTCCAACTCCAGTGGGCACTATCATCACACTGGTGTACTCTCTCTTACACTACAGAGACAAAAACAAGAAGCACTTGTTGTTATTGTTGAAATTTGATTACTTGTGAAGATGTAAAAAGAGAAGAGAGTGAGAGAGTGACCTTGAGAGATTGTGAAGAGAAAGAGCATGAAATGAGTCGGTTGTTGTGGGGAGAGAAAGAAGGGGTTAGAAGGTTAAGAGTGAGAGACATGTTTCTTAACGTTCGAGAGGAATTAGAGGAACGTGTATTCTAACTTTTTTCAAACAAAAATAGGAAATTGGTTTCATCCTACATTGTACCGCCCTGTGTCTCCAATTGGTCACTACAAGGAGTACTATTGTTCTAGAATTAAGTGGATGCTTTGTTTTAGTTTTTGAAGAGTAAACAAAGTGATTATAAAGTCTAGAATTCATTTACCAAGTGGTCTACTTGATTGACATTAGATTTGGTAAAAAACGTAAGAGTAAGAATTGATTCGGTTTATAATTTGTGTTTTGCTGATAACAATACATATATTTTTAGATTTGTGTTAATTTATATTCTCTAGAACACAAGAATTGTTGTTCGTTATTATGTTAATTTTATCATTGTTGTATATACAAGAGTTATTGCTCACATTTGTGTGCAAACATTTATTCTTTGATGTGGTGTTAAATCTGCTTTTTAGAACCATTCTTGTAAATACTGTTTGATTGTAAATCTTTTTAGATTTATTTTCTCGAGTGACTAAGTTGTAGTCAGAATTACTTGAGAGGGCTAAAGGTGTTTTTGTAAACTCTTAGAGGTTGGTGTAATCTTCCTATATTATTAGATTAAGTCATTTTCTAAGACAAAATCACTTTGGCGGGTGGACAAGAGTAGCATTTTCTAAGGTGAACTTGTATAAACCAAATGTGTCTCTTTTCTTTCTTACTTAGTTATCATTGTTTGTTTGTGAGAAACATTTACAAAAGAAATAGTTTTTGAAAACCCCGATTCAAACCCCCATTTCTTATATTTTTTTCAACCTTCAATTGATATCAGAGCACCGGCTCTGTTATTGATTCTCAAGTCAAACACTTAACCGTGTAGTCCCCGTGATGATTTGTGATGTTTCGATGAATATGAAGTATATTATGATGTCGAGATGAATATGAAGTATACTATGATGTCGAGATGAGTATGAAATATACTATGATGTCGAGATGAATATGATATTTAAAATGATGATTTGTGTGGTGTATGGTGGATAATAAGAGATGTTTAGAATTTAAATAATTAGTTAGAATTATTTAGATTTAATAATAATTATTTAGAATTGTTTGGATTAAATAAATAGGATGGTGGTGTAGAGAAAATAAGGGCAAGGTGGTCATTTGGGAAAAATAAATGAGGACAATAGTGGAAGACCATATTTAAGGGTCCAAGGGGTAAGTTTGATATAAGGAAGGTTTGGGAGTTGGAACGATCATTCTGGGCGATCGTAAGAATTGGAAGAACGCTGCAGAGAAAGAAAGCTAGGGCACAGAGAGGCAAAAAGGAATTGTAGAACAATGTAACACTGTGAGAGAACTAACTTGGGTGTTTTGCATTTCATCGCAATTGTTGCGGATAGCAAGAGTCGCCACCGACTTTTCTTTTATCCAAAAGGAAAGGTTGAAAAGAACATGAAAGACCTTTCGAGATTATTTCTTGAATTCGGGGGGTAGGTTATGAAAAGGGAAGGTATTAGCACCCTTTTCATCTGTAGTTATCTACGGGCTCTTAGTTGCTTGCTAGATCACTTGCTTTTGTTTGAAAATATGCTTGTGGTGTGGTTTTTGAAAGTTTTTTAAAAACGTCTTTGTAATGGTTCTCGTTTCTATAAGAACGCGTACAAAATGTTGTTTTTTGAAAATAATTCAAAGAGGTGTTTGTGGAATGTGCTTTTGAAAATGATTTTGAAAAAATGTCTTTGTAATGGTTCTCGTTTCTATAAGAACACGTACAAAGTGTTTTGTCTTTTGAAAATGTTTCAAAGTGAAAGTGTTGGTGTATAAAATATTTTTGTTGTGAGCAAGCGAGCAATTAGGAGCATCCTACCTACTCAAAAGGTCTTAATGTTATTTTCCTCCTCCTTTAGATGTTGCTATCTTACCATTGATTTGGTAAGAAGCTCCATCATTGGATATGAAGGGACGTGCGTGAGACGTTTTATATAATCATAAAAGGCAACCTATGGGACGTTTTAGCAATGTCATTTAGGGACTAGATCGTTTACTGAAGGAAACATTAAGGGTCATCGAGGGACTACGATCTTTTATCAAAGGTCTTTGCTAAAATGCTCATATTCGAGGGACATGACTATTTCTCCGAGACAACAAATGAGATTACCCTAAGGGTGCATGTGTGAATAGTGTGTTTGATTTACATGTATTTAGTCTTTGATTTTGTTGGGTTGTCTACTTGTTGTTTTTATCTTGCCATACATCCTAATTACTAGCATTTAGACAAAAGTAATAAAAATGAAGAAAATAAATCCTACACTATTACAACCATATTGAATAGCATGAAAATATAAAGGCAAAATAAAATAAAGGAAAGAAAAAGGGCTCTTTCAATTTAGGCAGAAGCATCCTTCGATTCTTCTTCTCTGGCTCCCTTCGATTTGGTCTGGAAGTAGTGAAGGCGTGCCTTTCGATTGGGCCTAGAAGTTAGTGTGGTGTGTCTTTCGACTGGGGCCTGGAAGTCAGTGTGGTGTAGCCTGACTTTCTGGTTGCTTATTTCGTTTAGCATGGAGTACCCTCTTCACCTTAAGTCCCTTGCTACCTCCTTCAATTGGGGCTTGGAAGTCAATGTGGAAGCCTAAGGCTTCGTTTCATACTTCCTTCCTCTTGTTTCTTTCGTTTAAGATCTTGGATAGTAACATGGCCTAAGGCCATGCTAGCATCACCTTATGGCCAGGTTAGTTCTTAAAGCATATTTAATAAGTCAAGAAACAAAACCAAAAAGATTAGTCATGAAAACAAATTAAAAGGGCGGAAACGAAAAGGAAATAAATGTGATGTACATGTTTGAAACGAAAGGAAAGATTATTCACATGTTATGTTAGAAACGAAAGGTTCAAAGTTAAGAGTGACTTACCATGTTTGGAGATGGGTCGTGTGCTGGACCTTGAGTGGCTGCCTTGGATGTCCCTGAATTTGATGGAAAGAAACAAAGATGACGTTTCTAATGCTGGATTCGAAAGAGAAGAACAAGTGTGATGTTCTTTCTACTGGATTCGAAGGAAAACAAAATGTGGGGATGTTACAGATTCGAAAGAGGCAAATGTTTAGATTCTGGGTTTGAATATGTATTTAAGTGTTTGAGAGTGTTTGAGAGTGTTTGATGATTTTGAAAATTCGTTCCTCCAGCCAAAAAGTCCTCCTTTAGCTTGCAAATGTCTCTCTATTTATAGAGAAAAGGCTGGAAGTGTTTGAAGTATCCAGGTTTGTAGGATAACAAACTATGGTTTGGTTGAAAATGAAAATAGTTTTGTCCCTTTTCGTTGATCCCAAGTTTTAAGTACAAGTGGGGACCTGCTGGAAGGAGATTTGACATATGCCTTTGGCACTGCTTTTCGTTCCGACACAAATCAGGTTGGGAGCTGATTTTGTGATAAAAGTACTCTTTATGAAAAAAGGATACGTAGCATTTTGCTATTTTAACCAAGAATGATATTATCCAGTAGACAAAGCTCCAAACCTTTATGTAAGCCTATGATCATGTAAAGATTTGGAAGCAACATAGCCTGACAAGTAGGGTAAGGCTATGAGATTTGCTCAAAGTTCTTTAAACAAACTTGCTTCGAAGGATCCAGAGTTGGGTTCGAAAGATGCTGATTCGAAGGGAATCAAAGTTCCAATTGAAGCCTTGTGTGAAGGTGTTTTTTGTCCAGTCGAAGGCTTGCCTGCCAGAGGTCACATGGCCAAACTAAAGGTTCCATGCAGGAGGTCCCTGCTTTAGGGAGCTAACACAAAGGGGAAACTCTGCCTTGAGAGTTTGGAAAACATGCAAAACCAAAGGCTTTTGAGTCGAAGGGGATTTACAGAAGGCCCTTGCTTTGTGACTTCAAACAAAACATGTAAGAGGCCTTTGCTCAAACGAAATTTTGCCTACCAAAGGTCCATATGGCCAAACGAACTTGTGTTTGAAGGAAACCACAAGCCCAAACAAAGAATGTAAACCCAAGCTTGTCATGAAGAAACTCACACGCCCAAACAAAGAAAGCATGCAGGAAGTAAAGGGCACAAATGAAGCTTGCAACAAAGGGGGCCACATGCCCAAATGAAAGAGGCATGATAGGCTTGCAAAGATGCCCAGACGAAAGAGGTATGCAGGAAGCAAATTGTGCAATCAAAGGATGCCAAAAGGAGGATTTTTGCCTTGGAATTGAAGGAGGCTACATGAGACTTTTTGCCTTGTGCATGCTAGCATGGTGGGAGCCTCTTGCACGCAAGAAAGAAGTTATGGCTCAATCAAAGGCTTGTATGCAGCTAGTCATCAACTTGTGAATCAAAGCAAGCATGGGGGGAAATATTTGTCCAGTCAACACAGGCATGCAAGCATCAAACATCCAATCAAAGCAGGCACATAGGCAGCCATTGCATTGTGAACCCTGTGGGGCCAAAGATGCAATCGAAGGTGGAATGCAAGAAGCTCCTGCCTTGTGAATCAAAGCCAGTGTGCCAGAGGCCCACGCCCAATCGAAGGATGCAAGCCAAGCTTGCATCGAAAGATGCCAGAAGTCCAATCGAAAGAAACTTGTTTTTCCTTCAATTTTGTCAAAAGATTATTTTTTATTTATTTTCCCATTTTTTAACAGTTTCCTATTTAACTTAATGCTGAAAAATCCAATTGTACTTGTGCAAACTTGAAACTTGAGAATCTTTGTGATGAATTCCTTGAGGAATGAGAGGGAAAACATTGGGGTACAACAGCTGCCCCTGTTCAATCTTCTTAAACCTGAAGAGTTAGATTGGAGAGTCTGCCATTCGTGACTTGAAGGTGGAAGATGATTGATCACTAAAGTGCCCAGAAATTTGCACTCGATGACATGGTGGTTTATTGTGTAGGGAATGGGCTTAAAGATGCCATTCGGAGAGATGATGGAGAGTTGTCGGAGATGAGCTTACAGATGCCATCCAAAAGTGATTGGTGACAAATATTTGAAGAAGTATCAGAATAAATCTCTGGTTGATTTATACTGA